CTTAGACATCACATCAAGTCTTAACACTTAATTAACCCTTTAAAAGGGAGTCCAAAAATGATAGATATCGTCTCTAGTTTAAAATGTTCTGGCCCTCACAATAGCAGAAGTAAGCCCATACACACACAGTTATATTTTCATGTCTTTAGAGGACATTATGTTGGCTTTCATTCATTTCCTGAAGACTTAAATAAACACTAACCACAACCAGAATTTCCTTAACTGATCAGTTATAAATTATCTAAAATCACCCTAAACTAATCTAAAACCACAACACGTGGTGCTTTGATAAGAGAAGAGTTTAACTCTTTTAAGGCATGAAAAAGAACTGTAGCTAATGAATACAATTCCACACGACATACCTAATAGCTCGTTCAGTGTTGTTTAACAGCATGTTTAGAGGTATCACAGCATATGGGTCAACATGATTGACGGATTGTAGCTGGAGACCAGCTACAATGTAACGAATTCTTTGGGAATTCCCATCAGCGGACACATCGATCCCTGCACTCACGGTGCCTGTCCATGCCTAATCTTTGTGGCTGCTGTAGAAGCAAGAAAGACAGAGGCTCAGAAAAAGAGGGAGCTTGTTTTTGTTCTGGGACAGAAAGGCGTTCTCCTGCCTCAGGATGTTGCCTTTAAAGCTGAAGAAGTGGGTTTCCTGTGGAGGAAACGATCACAGAATAGACAAGGCTGGGTCGAGGCAACGTGTTCCCAACATTGCTTGAGCACAGGTCACCCGGCTGCAGACTGGGCTGCACAGTATTTGTGGAATAAAGTCAGTCTCAAAGCTCTGAGGGGTGAGTACAAAGGATTTAAGCTTTTTTATGGGTTCATTCCTCATGCACTTAAAAACTCATAGCATCTGTTTTGCAGGTTTTCATTTCCACCAATCGATCCAGGATGCTCTGAAGCCTGGTTGAGTGACAGCATGGAAAATGAGGGTGAATTTTTCCACAGCAGAGTGGCTTTATGAATCTTGCAGAGTGGACACGTGTGATTAGGAAGAATGCACCTGAGACCAGAGTCTTCCTTTCTTCCTCTCTGCCTTGAGTGAATGGATGGGCTTTCCTACATTAACTCACCGTTCTGTGAGTGTGAATCAACGTCTGATTGAGATCACCTCAAGTCTCCCATGTGACGTGTTTTACCCGCAGAGACATGTCCAACGATACCTGCAACCTCCCCTTGGACACGGACATATTTGGCCTGACCTGTATTTATGGCCTCATCTTCACTCTGGGTCTCCCCAGCAACCTGCTGTCTCTTTGGGGATTGTACCACCTGGGGCGCTCAGGTGGCGGAGGCTGTCAGCTGGTCTACATCCTCAACCTGCTGCTGTCAGACCTCCTCCAACTGCTCACACTGCCCTTATGGATTCTTTACCTCCAGGGTCCACACCAGTGGCCCTATGGCCAGCTAACCTGTGAGCTAGTTGGCTACGTGTTTTACGTGAACGTCTATGCAAGTGTCATGTTCCTGTGTCTGATAGCTACAGACCGCTGCCTGGCTATTGTTTACCCATTCAGCAGCCGCAGGGTGCGAACAGTCCGAGTCGCAGCAGTGTCAGGTGTAGCGGTGTGGATCCTAACCTTCCTGTTCTGTCTGAGTGGGCTGCTGCCATCTGTGTTCAACTCTGACAGACTGCTGTGCTTGGAGCAGTACCCCGTCAGCCCTCGATATGCTCAATTTAAGATCGCCACTGTGGTTCTAGGCTTCTTGTTGCCATGTGCCATCCTGGGGTGAGTTAATGTCAACATTTACATGTGCACATATGTTTCTGACTTAATGTTTTCTAGATAAATTGGATATTTCCCTGTTCTTTTAGAATTAAACTTGAAGTCCCATATAAATCATATACATAACAAAATTTCAAGAGGTGTTTCAATCTTGAGTAAAGTAAAACACATTCTGGACCACAAATCACTCCACATTCTCTATTGTTCCCTGATTGCACCGTATTTGAATTACTGTGCAGAGGTGTGGGGCAATACTTACAAATGTTCGCTATCATCAATCTTTCTATTACAAAAAAGGGCCATAAGGATAATCCATAAAAGTGGTTACAGAGATCATACAAATCCACTATTCTTAAAATCAAAAATTCTAAAATTCACAGATCTGGTTCATTTTCTCACTGCACAAATTATATATAGAGCAATAAATAACCTGCTTCCTGACAATATTCTAAAAATGTTTTCTAAAAGGGAACGGGGATACAATTTGAGGGGGGAATTAAATTTAAAACATCCTCGTATCCGTACAACATTAAAACGTTTTTGCATCTCTGTGTGTGGAGTGAAACTGTGGAACAGACTAAGTAAAGATATAAAGCAATGTCCGAGCATGGCACAGTTTAAAAAGCGGTTTAAGGAGATGGTTTTTACAGGGTACAGGGAAGAGGTAGAGATTTGATAGGGTGTTCTTGTCCAATATTTTCATGTGTGTACGGGTGCACGGGTATGTTGGTATGGGTATATATATATCTGTAGGTTGTGTATCCTTTGAGGTGTTAATGGGGTTATTGAAAATGTGTATATGTGCGTATGTGTATATACGTATGTATGGATAGATAGAAACATATATGTATATATATTTTTTAAAAAATGAATAATTTAAAAAAAATACACATGACATATAATGTAATTGCAAGGAGGTATTTCTGTAGTATATTGATTACTAGATAGTGGAAAAGGGGTGGGATTAAATAAGCTTATGCTTCTCCCTGCTCCTTTTTGAACATGAAAGTTATTTGTAGTTGTGGTTGCTCGTTTTCTTTTTGTTTTGCTTTGTTTATTTGTCTCTTTTAATTCTATGTTGTTGTACTTTTTCAACATGTTCAAAATAAAGATTCAATCAATCAATCAATCAAACGTTTTGTATATTAGATTAAAGGCTGGTTTCTGATCTCCAAATCTGTTTCCTCCCTCAGCTACACCTCAGCCCACATTGGGGTGACACTCAGGCAATCTCCATCCCTCTCCGCCCATGAACGGCACAAAATCGTAGGAATTCTGGTCGTGATTACTGTCAACTTCATTGTTGTCTTTGGACCCTACCACCTGGTAGGCGGATACAGGTTTGTATCCTTGCTGCTGACTGATGATCCATGTGAACTGGAGCATTCGCTTTTTCTCATCTATCGCCTGTGCTATGGTTTGACCAGTCTGAACACTTTGCTGGATCCCCTCTTCTACATCTTCCTCTGCCCTGATGCTCGGCTAGAGCTGCAAAGGTCCCTGCCCTGTTTGGGAAGAGGGCAAAACCCAAGCAAAAGCATGACTCTTAGTACCAGGGCTCACCCAGACACCAAGAGGGTGAGTGAAAATAGGCAGAGTAACCTTCTAGCAATATAGTTTGGACTTGACCACAATCAAAGCAATTGCACCACCCAGTGGGAAGACATATGTTGAGTTTATGCCTCGCAGTGTTTCCACCTTTTGATCTAAAGAATTATTTGGGCATTCACAGTTCCTCATCTAGATACTGCTTAAAGGTAGGAGAGGAAAAAAGATATTTTTGTGCAAACGGTGACTTCTGCTTACATGTAACTCAGCTGAAATATGGAAATTCAGTTTCATATTTGTCAAAACCGCACATCCATAACTACTGTGAGTTCATGTTTTCTACTGCTCAGTTTACGATCATTAAAAACTGCATTTAATCACACGTGTGCTGTCAGTAATTTTAAAAATAGAAAAGGTGTGAATCACTATGGAAACACAAGATTGTGGTTATATAACGGTAAGCAACTAGTCATACGAAGGTGCCAGGATGCTTTTCTTTTCTTTTATTCATTTTCTAAAATGTCATTTTACTGCTAAAAGGTATTGACAGCATATGAATGAGCACTAAAGTAAACGTGCAATACACTTTTTCTCATAAACAGCGTGAGCAATTTCATCATAAAAGGAAACCGAATGTTTTGCATCTGAAAAAAAATGCTGGTGTAGGCGCTTACAGCTGCTGATAACATCTGGTGAGAAACACATTACACATTTCTTAAGCAGTCTAAGGCTCGGTTATTTACAAAGCAAAAAAACGTGTATTACTTTAAACTAAATTTACATTTTCATCAAACACCCTTAAAACAAGAGAAGTACCTTAGAAAGGGGAAGTTTTTGCAAATTTAGTGACATACTGCACATGACTGTATAGTAATGCTAACTAAACTGTTTTTTCTTGCTAGAGTACAGACATTACATCACATATAATTCGCTAAATATAAGGAATACAAATGAGTCTAGGACTTTGTACTGAAAAGCTAAAATTAAATGATAAAGCTTTCTCTATTTTTATGTAATATATCTCTATGTCAAGCACAAGGAAGCACTGATATATATTTTTACTGAAACAGGGACGAATGGATATTTTGTAACAAGTGTTGTATTGACATTGCAATACTTATTTCACACCCATCCCTACACATGATTTCACTAAGAATATGCAAAAGTTTTAGATTAAAAGTCTGCAGCAGATTAGACCAATTACTGGATGTCTTTAATCTGAAAAGATACAATTAAGAAGCAAAGAAAGTTTGTAAAAGGACATGGAGTGAACCTTGCTCTTCTTTGCTCTTTCTGTTATGAAAAAGAAAGGTCATTTCTAAAATTTAATTATTTTGAAGACAAATGTCTGCTGTCATTGTCTAAATACATAAAGACGCATATGAAAACAACAGAAACCTCCTAATATCCATCAGGTCACAAGTGCTCCATCCAGTGTCAGGATTAAGGTTGGATTGTAGTTTATCCACATGTTCCAAACATGAACTCCCAATGATGTTAATTTATACTAAAACATACTCTTAATCCTAGATGGGGCACTAATAACTTGATTGATGGATGGAGAATACAATGCTATAGTAAAACAGATAAGCTTTTTGTGAAAAAGTATTGCCTGAATGATATGTGTTAGACAACAGGGAACGTTTTTATGTGCAGTTGAGGTAAATAAAACCTTCTTTGCACTTCCTAAAGAAGAGATGGTATGTTTTACTTCTAAACTGAAGTACTCATACTTTCTTCCTGAGTTGCAAGGGAATGCTTCTTTCTCGTCATTATTTCAGAGTTGCCGATAGAGCTCCGAGCTGTGCTGCGGCGCCGGGCGAACTCTGCAAGATCCTCAGCCAGAACAGACTCCATCACTGCACCGAGAGAATGTCGGATCTTATTGCACAGGTCGGGGCAGCTGAACACATACAGAACAGGATTGAGGACGCTGTTGAGGAAGCCGATCGTCGCTGCAACTGGGAGGCCCTGTCTTATAAAACCCTGAACAGATTGAGAGTTTGGAGCCATCACTTCCATGACGATGAATATGTGGTAGGGTGCCCAGCAGAGTACAAAGCTCACCACCACAGACACTACAAGCCGAACAAAACGAAAAGGGCGACGGTTACATCTGTTTGTTATTATGGAGTGTACAACAGCATAGCTCACGATGATGATGACCAAAGGGATTAAGAAGGCAAAAAACAGCTTCATTATTGCCAGTCCTTCTTTCCGCTGTTTAATTATAGCTTTATTATTTGTCTGATTCTTTGGTTCAGGCAGGAATCGTCCATAATCATAGTAACAGAGATTCTGGCCATTTTTTAAAGGGATGACGTCACGAAACAGGAAGAAGGGGATAGTGCAGATCAGAGCCATGGCCCAGATTACCCCACATATCTTCTTAACTAGTTGGATGTTTCTGTGGTTTTGGGCCCAGACAGGTTTCAGCACCACCAAGCAGCGGTCCAGAGAAATGGCCGCCAGTAGGAAGCCACTGACGAACATGTTGAGAAAAAAGATGGAGGAATGGATGCGGCAGAAAGTTGTCCCCAGTGTCCAGGTTTTGCCCCGGGCCAGGTACAGGGTGAAGAAGGGCAGGGAAGAAGTGGCTAGCAGGTCAGAGACTGCGAGGTTCAGGATCCAGATGCTAATGATGGAGCGACGGACATGGAAGCCCACCACTGCAATGATGAGGAGGTTTTCCACGATTCCAATTGTAGCGAAAATGCCATGGAGGGTAATGGTAAAAACATTCAAAGAATGGGACCCTACAGGGTGGCTGGATACATTATGGTTGCTATTTTCAGTCATCTTGGATGAACGATTTC